TTTATGTAAATTGTAGAATATAATGATAATGATTGAAGACCCCCATGGACCTACTAACATGATCTCATTTAACCAAATATTTTACTACTATATAGGTAAGGTGATGGGTATCAAAAGTTCGTTTTCAGACGAATAAAACTTTTCTCTTTATATGCGCTTGTGCATATATACGTCTGTGTATATATTATATATAAATATATATATAAATTTATACGTGTGTGTATACTTTTGATTTTGTTAGGTTGCCATCACAACGGCACATGGTATGCGGATAAATCGCTTGTTCCCACCACCGCCAATTGTCTGAATTGCCAGTGCAATAAAAAGACTCTGGTCTGCCGTTTAAAGGTTTGTCCTGAGATGCCGATGCCACCGCCACGAGGCTGTGTTGTGGTACAAAAGAAGAACACATGTTGTCCGTATCTATCGTGTGCACGTTTAGATGCCTTCTATAAGATACCGGCCACGCGACGCATTATCGCATATTTGGATCATTACGAGCGTGAATCGATCGATCGTGTAGTCAATGAAAACATGCTGCAACGTCGTTCCGCAGATGACACCGAAGCAGATTTGTATGGTAAGTGTGCTTTGTGTGCATGGCTATGGCATATAAACCAGCTAAAGTATTTTAGATATGTGTTATATTACATGTGAACGTGCGTTAAATCGCGATGATTGTGATTAAAAAATTAAAAATCATCTTATATTAATTTTCTTCTAATTGGGTTAAAGTCATACGTGGACGTGCTACACAGGCCAAACATAATTTTCGTGATAAGCAATTTAAAGATTGTGAAGACTTCAGGTTTTACTTTAAACGAAAACTTAATAAAAAATTTCATTAAAGTTATTGTTTTTAATATAACAAAGGTACTCCTGTGTTCAATAAATAAGGAGAATTTAAATATTTAAAAAATTATTCGTGTCCGCAGAACTCTTACTAATATCTAATGGATGATCTAATATCTGATGGATCTTTGATGGTATCTCGTTTTATTATTAAATTTGTTTTAAAAAAAGAAAGTCGCTGAGGCAGATTCTAAGTCAGCTAAGTCATGCGTTCGTCGATTAAGGTAGAGCTGCCAACCGGAGGTTGTCACCAACATTATCGAAAAACGTTTTTGGTCGCAAATGTTTTCCCACGCACTGCTATTAGGGCTAAGTTGAAAAAACGCCTAAATTGGCTTAAAGTCGTTTAGGCCATTAATAAAAGAGCATTTTACGATTAAGTGAAAAGATTTTTCAGGCTATTTTTACTTGACCCGAAGATGCATAGTGTTTGAACAATGAATAACCTATAAGTACTTCCATATTACTCTAAGTGTTCACTTTAGACACTCAACAAAAATTCGAGTCAACGCACAATAATTATTTATGCCATTGAGGTTTGAAAAACATGTTTTTAGTACACTTTTCTAATATTGTAAGAGTCACTAATATCTAGCAAAAGCTTTATGTCACTTGGTTTGCTAGGTGGATATGAAGCGTTTTCTGTAATTGGTAAAATTGATTACCGAAGAATATTCTTTGCACGGTTCTCAACATCCAAACGAAACTAGCCGTTTCTTCACTTTCGAAAACAAAAAATAGTCACTCGAGGCTGACATATATCAGACATACGTTCATCGTTCCTGTTCGTTTCTAACTTTGAAAGGGATGTAAAAAAAGAATATATCGAATAAGTTAGTTTCTCTCCTTATTGAGTAGTGGAAGCCCATTGGTCTAAGACCGAAAAATACAAACGTCTAACTATATGATTGCAATAAGACTTTCTTTAACATTTGTTTACTTTGTAGTTTGTGTTAAGAACGGCACGGTTTATAAGTCTGGTTCAGCTATGTCTTCTTCAAACCTTTGTAGCTATTGCTTTTGCATTGGTAAGCATCACTAATAGTAATGCAATACTCCATATACCTTTACTGAAATTGTCGGCTTTCTTTCTTTTAGGTGGCACCGAAAAATGTGTAAAACCTAAATGTATGCTTCCGCTGGAAGGCTGTAAACCGATCTTTGTCGATTCTACTTGTTGCCCGGTGCGTTACGACTGCAGTTCTAAATCTACGGGAAAGTCATCGCAGGAAATGCGTTATCGTAAGACTTCAAACAAACATTATCTTCGTATGTCTCAACGCATGCAACGTAATCGTGGATGCACAGTGGATCAACAGTTCTATGCTGAAGGTCAAAAGATGAAAGCGGATCCTGATAGGCCATGCGATATATGTTTTTGTATACGCGGTCAACGTAAATGCGCCCCAAAGAAATGCGCACCAGCTTTACGCAACTGTATGCCAGTTGTTCCAAAGGGACAGTGTTGTCCCAGTAGTTACGATTGCGGAAGTCAGCGGGATTATCGTCGGGCTTACAATTCAAGGCAATTTAATTTGTTTTCTTTATTATTTGGTAAAGATAATGATGGCGACACAAATAATACTGAATTTGCGGTACAATATCCGCACGATAGAAGACCGATGAAAGAAGACAGCTTTTTACGTAAACCTACTGGCTCAACGGAGAAAAGTTTTTTTGATACTCTGCGAGAAGGTTTAGAGTTTATCGATAGTAATAGCAATGATATGTTAAGAGATGACTTAGATGTATTGGGTTTGCAATCGACACCTAGACCCATACCTTTACAAACCACAACTGAAGTAGCAGTAGAAATAACACAAACTACCAACGGAATTAGTTTTTTGGATTTGTTATTAGGATCTTCAGAAACGGATACCGATGATAATAATAAAATCCAAAATACGTCACAAATTATGCATAACATGAACTCCCCAAATAATAAATCAAATGTACCAATAAATGACGAACAGCTTTCTTGGTTGGATATTTTATTGAAACCGAATGAAGACGAGGCGAACAAGATAACCACTTCTACAATAAATTATAAATCGGATGATTTAGAGTTCACCACTCTAACTGACATTGACAAACTATCCACTGAAGTGGTAGATTTTATTAATAACACAACTGAAATACTTACAACAACGGAGACCTCTACGTCAATAGCGTCAGGGATTTGGACAAGCACTACCGAAGAGATGAGCTTTACGCAAACAAATCCTATATTACCTGTCGAGTTGGCATCCGCGACTGAAATCTTCCAGATTAATGCCAATGCTGGCAACTTGAAAAGTGAATCTAATGCTTCTTTAAATGCATTGAAGGTTGCGAAGCCATTAAAACCTAATATAATACCCTTAAAGGAATCGAAACCAATTTTAAAAAATATTACCACACCTAAGCCGGAGACAAAACCTGATTTATTGGCTGTTTTACTGGATGGTTTAAGCGATATTTTAACGGTAGAAAAACCCGCTAGGAATACAACTTTACCAAATAACAAATTACCACCGTTACTAACCGCGAGTACATTGCCATACATTACTTTACCCACACCGAAACCTTTACCTCTCTTCAAACCCATACCACCAGAGAAAACTCACGTTCGCATTAATTCAAAAATAGCTAATTTAACCGTAGAACCTTTACTGATTTCTACGAAAGGAAAAGTAAACTCAACTTTTAAGCCCTTGCCACCACCAGCGTCCAAATTGCCGATTACTTTTGCGTCGAATTTAACGGACACTTCATTAAAAGTTACCACTACTACTAAGTCACTTTTTGCTACAACTTTGAAACCATTGGTTATTAAAACAAATCCCACCATTTTAGAGGCAGATCCTTTCGGTGACAATACTCAGCCCACTTTACCGCCTAGCTTACCAAATTTAAAAATTATACCCTTCCTACCAACCGATGCTGTAAAAGGTGATCATAATAAATTAGCAAATTATGACTA